CGTCTGTCCACGTCTCTGCATTGACTTTACATGTAATCGCGCCGCCCCCAAACGTCGCATCGCGTCCGGTGTGAACACAACATAAGGAAGTGGCAGAATTTTTCCGGTTGTGTATTTTCAAATTCTAGCGCACTCGAGCTGGTTTCTCCAAAATTACCTACCCCAACTTTAAGTAAAAGAGTGTAGGAATACTCTGTTACAGTTAAAGTCCTGCATTCAAAATGTTACTCAAGTAAAAGTACAAAAGTATTAGCATCAAGATATACTTAAAGGTAGGGTAGGTAAGTTTGAGAAACCGGCTCGAGATCGCTAGAATTTGAAAATACACAACCGGAGAAAATCTGCCACTTCCTTATAGAGCCCCTCCTCCAACACACACGAACGCGCACATGACCAATGAGGGCACGAGATAAGTTTGTGCACAGATGGAAGGCTGACAGGCAGGTAGGCCATCCAATTATTTTAGCCGGGCTGGCTAAAATGATTGGTCGTGCTTTTTACAGTACTACGGCTTCCACAGATGAATTTTTTTAATGGATTTTTTGTCAAAGCACTTCAGATATTCATTGCTATCGGGATGTTAAGAGCATTCCATGGAATATAACAAAAAGTGTATCTCGAGCCGGTTTCTCAAACTTACCTACCCTACCTTTACTGTAGGTACTAAAAGTAAAAGTACTCATTATGCAGATTGGTCCATTTCAGAATATTTTACATCATATGTTTATATTTTTGATACATGAATGTGTTTATCAAAGCTGGTAAAGGTGGAGCTAGTTTTAATGACTTTGTATACTGCAGGGTAGCTTGTGAATTTACTCCAGGTGGAACTAAAGTTACTTCCCACCTCTGGTTATAGGTAGATGAAAACAACACCCGCATATACACTGATGGGATATCTTTATTGTGTTTAGCTGGATGCATTGTTTTCAAGTTTACCACATCTGCATAATGGTATTGTTGATTTCTTTTTGTGTGTAAGAAGGTGCCTGTGTGCCATGTTTGAGATATTTATGCAGTTGTTTATATTCACCTTCATCAATCAAACATCCCTGGATCAATGTAACCTAGTCTTAGAGCTAAATCATAAATCATAAATCCTTTATCTGTCCCACAGCGGGGACATTTACTTTGTTACAGCAAAGGGAGTGATAAAAAGGCAGAAACAATAAGTAGTCTTACAACTTCTTAAATAAAGAAGCAAGCAGCACACATGGATACAATTGAATAAGTACACATCCATGGTTAAACAAATACAATAAAAAAAACTAGCAGCATTATAAAAGTACAACAACATACAGGTGAAGTAAAAGCTAGTGTGTGTGTGTGTGTGTGTGTGTGTGTGTGTGTGTGTGTGTGTGTGTGTGTGTGTGTGTGTGTGTGTGTGTGTGGGTGTGTGTGTGGGTGTGTGTTGGTCTACCAGCGGCATATCCACCATGTGTCTGCAGGACCAATCACATTCCTGTTTGTTAACCTTTTTCTTTGACCTCACTCGAGTCACAAGGTGATCATTGTCATTAACAAGTTTAACAGTAACACTTTGTCTTTCATCAAATCAAACAGAGGTCAAACCTTCTCATTAAAAGAAGAACTTTTTTTGCAAAACACAAGCGGCTTTCATCAGCGTCACCCAGGCCATTAGATAAAAACACTTTGGTCTCTGATTTGTTAAAACAATTGTTGTGGTTAATCATAGAGCTAGGGCTCTCACACAATCACAGTTTAAATACATTATTATCACTTCTTAAACATATAATGCTGTCAGTCATATTTATCTTGAACCTTTTGTGGATTTTGTCTCTAAATGACACACTCAGATCTAGAAACATTAAGTGGAACATATCATACAATTGTGTAACTACTCCATACTTACACAATATTATGATATTATACGACTGATAATCTATCTAAAGTGAATGGTATTCCCTTATCTTAAGTGGGCTTTATTGTCCACACTGTCACACTTTTTGCATTTAGAACCAGACAGTGAGTGTTACAGTAATTATATGATCTGGATCTCAATTCACAAAAGGCTAGAAAGAGCTCTTTCACTGTTAAATGTTAAATGTGGTTTGTCAGAGGTTTGACATTTTAACAAAACGCTAAATGTGCACGTTGTTCTGCTCACATGCTTGGTCCCTCACACACCCTTGATGTGTTCATATCCCATCAATGTGTCTACTGCTCTGACTTATGCTACAATGTTTTTGGCAATAACTAAATATGTCTACTAGTATTAATAGTTTTTGATGAAAAAGCATTTATTTAGAGTTCAAAATATTGAGATGTTGAGATGGATGAAAGCAGGCATTACATCATTACACGGGGGTCAGCTGTGGAACACGGAGTCAAATCAAGGAGAGTACCCACTGGCACTGTTTCAGCCTCTTCATTAATCACAGTCAACGTAATGAGTGTGTGTGTGTGTGTGTGTGTGTGTGTGTGTGTGTGTGTGTGTGTGTGTGTGTGTGTGTGTGTGTGTGTGTGTGTGTGTGTGTGTGTGTAAAGAAGGCATAGATATAGATAGAAAGATATATATATATATAGATAGATAGATACATAGATAGCCAGATAGATAGATAGATAGATAGATAGATAGATATACACTGTATAGATAGATAGATAGAAAGATAGAAAGATAGAAAGATAGAAAGATAGATAGATAGATAGATATACACACACTGTATAGATAGATAGAAAGATAGATAGATAGATGGATAGATGGCGTCACGTAAAATCCCTCATCCTTCTCCACAGTTCGATGGGACTTGTAAACAAGCTGTAAATTATCCCAAAGCTGCCACATGCACCCACCTTAAATCTGCAGAGAGGAGGCTACAAGGATGCCACAAATACTCCAGAGGATTTGCGCAAAGGGTGGGACACAGTCACTGTCACCCCCCCCCTCTGCCTCCCCCTCCTCCTCCTCCTTCATTCCCATCACTTGAGCACTGCAGCACTGGAGGGCTTCAGTCCCATAAACCATCAGCGAATGAGAGGCCTGACACATCCTCACGGTGCTCCACCACTCAACAGATGTGAGACGAGCTGATGGGCTCCCCAGAGAGATGAGGAGGTGGAGGTGGAGGGGTGAGGAGGGGAGGGGAGGGTGGGTAGGATCAAGAAAAAGGGTGATGTAAATGTCTGTATACATCAGGCAATATAAACTGACAGGTTAATGCCAATTTCTCTCGCTGATTTACACATTTTATGATTGTTTTATGATTGTTTTACTGAATATGCTGAAGTCTTGCTCCAGGCTTTTATTGCAACAGTCATAAATTGTCTTTTAGAGATATAGCTCCCTCTAATGAAGAGTGATGGTACTACACTGCAATATCCATATATGAATATACACATACAGTATGTATTTCCTTTAAAGTGGCCCTATTATTATTATTATGCAAATGTTACGGTTCATCTCTCAATGTTGTTCCTCTACTGTTTCCATGCTTTAATATTCACAAAGGTCTTTATTTTTCTAATGTTACTTTGAAATACTTACATAACACATAATGAATTTATAAAATATCATCTTTGGAACTTTAAAACTCTGTAGGGTTCATTCTGCATAATGAATACTTTTGCTTTTGATGTTGTTATTACCTTTAGCTGACAATACTTCAATCAAGGCTATTTCCCCAGATAATTATTTCTGCTTTCCAGTACTGTGCAACTCCATGACAATTGTGTTAACCAGTGTGCTTTTTATAATAAGGTCATACATCAATGATATAAATCAACAGAGGAAGTCAAACACACTGCAGTAAATGATGACGCCTCAGGGGTCAATGTCGGAGTGGTTTATTAGAATAAGAAAGTTGACATAGAGCAAAGTCTCCATGCGGAGTGACAGGCAGAGCTCGGGACAATGTGGATGGTGAACAACTGCTGGAGTGTGTTTGCGTGTGTGTGCATGGAGTGTGTATATGTGTGTGTACTGGGCAGTTGTCGGAGGGTGCATGCACATGTTGCTTTTTGCGTGACGACAGACAGATTTCTTCGCGGACACAAGCACACACACACACACACTTGCATGTACTGTACAAATTCACACGTCGCTACTTCTGTACACACACAGAGGCTGTGTCGTCATGCAGCTACTGCACTTAAATTACATGTAAGCATCAAGGTTATGTACACAAAGTAGGGACATGTGTTGTCTTCTGATGGCCGCCTGCCCTGAGGGCCCCAGGGCGACGTTGGTGGTGGTGGTGGTGGGGGGGGGGGGGGGGTCGGGGGATGGTCAGCCTCTGGGCCGACGTCGTTCACAGTAGCAGGAGAATCCACTCGGCAAGAAAAAAGCAGAATCTCTTTTTGAAGCTCAGTCTGTTTGAGTTCATTCACTCCTCCTCTTCCTCTCCATTTCCCTTCAGATTCAGCATCCAAACAGGACACACAACACCTCCGTGCTGCTCACAGTTCATTGTCACTGTCAATATAATTAATAATAATAATAATAATCATCATGATAGTCTTCAGGTTCGTCTTCATTTTCGTCATCAAATCCGGCACACCAGAGCAATTGAAATCATATACAATAATATTCCATATAATCTCAAACCAAATATCTACCACAGAAACAAACTATAGAAAAAACAAACATGACAGAAATGATCAGTGCTGACTAAATACATCTAAAACTTTACAAAAATGCAAACGTTGATTTTGTTTTCGCCTTGTTTTTGTGCTTTTTTCCACCCTCTTATATGTTGGCTCGAAGGCGGCCATTTCATGTCACTTCTCCCAACAGCGATGATGGATTTAACACAAGTTAGACTTAGTTTCTTGGACTCTTTCTTGGACGTAGAGCATTTACAGCACAGTGGAGCGCTGTAGGACAAGATGGCAGTTATTGGCTTGGGGGGGGGGGGGGGGGGGGGGGGGCATCGCATCACTGGGCCACACGGCACTAACAACCCCAACACACAAAGGCATGGTCTCTTTAACAAGCATACAGACACAACCTGATAAATAACAACACACACAGACAGACTGGGTCGTGAGGGCTGGGTGGGAATTTTATGTGTGATATGTGCAGGGCAGAGATAAGGAAGGACACTGCATGTGTGTGTGTGTGAAGGACTACAGGCAATATGTGCTGCATTGAACAAAAAACCCACCCTCCAAACACAATCATTTCTAAGCAAAGGAAAGCAATTTGCCGCATGAGAGGCTTTGAAAATGTATTAAAAAAAAAGGTAACAAATAAAACGGGATTTTGTGAATTACTGCGATTTCTGTTTCCGTCACCGACTCATTAAATTAACAAGCTAACCTTTAATGGTGACAAACAGGATGAGAGCGCAGCCCGGGCTCACATTAGGACGAGATATGTGTGTGCAGAGAGAGATAGTGTGAGTCTGTTCACAATAAAAAAGGGGCTTTAAAGAAGAAGAGAAAGTGCAGCTGTTCAAAAAGGAGGAAAGGGAATGACATGAAGTATGAGAGAAGTAGGGAGGATGACGGCTTCAATAAACAGACTGACTTTATTGAGGCTACACCTGAATTCTTTAGCTGCCCTGTAATGTTGAACACATGTAATCAAATTAGGAAGATACCATCATGAGCTTTCCTAGAGTGAGTCAGCCTATTTTCAGCTTGAGCTCTGTTTCTGATCTTAATTCGATTGCTTTTTTAATTTGGTTAAAGCACCAACAGTACTTGTGTGTATGAGCATGTGTGTGTGTGTGTGTGTGTGTGTGTGTGTGTGTGTGTGTGTGTGTGTGTGTGTGTGTGTGTGTGGAGGGCGGGTGTTTAGTATAAAAAGGGGTAAAGAGCTGGTTGAACGTGCACCTCCCTCCCAGGGCTGATGTGTCTGTAATAATCTTCTCAAGGGCTCATCAGGCCATTAGAGGGCCCGGGAATGTACTTTGCCTAATCAAGCATGTTTAGTGAAACACCGGAGGAGATGCAGAGCGAGGACACGGCTGACTGGGCGAGCCGGCCGAGACTGAGAGACCTCATTCACACACACATCACACACACGCAGACACGCAGCACTCAGGTCACAGCGGAGATGGAGACGGAGAGAGATAAAGAGAGGCAGAGATGAGGGGTCGGGCTGGTGGATGGGGGCGACGTATCCTCAATACTAATGACCTGTTTCAGGGTGGAATGCGTAAAGAATACACTGTACTAATGTGCGGAGGCGGTAATGCAGTAACATCATGTTCGCCCGCCTGACCTCCTCCTCTGTCCTTGCTTTCATAAATCTCTTTCACTGGCTTGTCTTATGCAGCACCTCCAGCTCTGGCTGCTTAATCTTCAGGGCTGGCTGCTGAACCTCAATGCTGTTCAGGTACTAACAGAAATGAGACCGTGGCAATGAGTGTCGAAAGAACTGTCAGCTGGTATCGAATACTTGGTCTGATTTACAATCTTGTTTACTTATTTTCATGAAGGAACAGGCCTTGATTTAAATTGGAATTTTGGACGAATGCAGACAATTTACTTCTTAGATAAAGTTTTAGTGAGACTGCTTATGTCATTACTTGGGATTTGTAGTAAAATGGGAAATAGGATTTTTTTGAAAAACAGTTTTTTCTTTCTTAAAGTAAGGTAAACATAACAATGTTGTCTGCTATTGAAATGGCATTTCTGAAATGTTTCAACCAATACACAGCCTTTGTATTACACCTGATACATTAAACCTCAAATAACTTATTTTTTGGCCACTTGGGGGCAGCAGAAACAAGCTGTGAAGACAACACTGACATATTATCACCCTTTAAAGGCGAATAGCTTGGTTTTTGGTCTCTACCAACTCTTACGGGAAATCTAAGGCTCTTTATCTGATAAATACTTCACTGTGTTCACTAGCAAGAGTGTCTGTCTTCATTTGGTGCTAGGCAGGAAGTGTATAGTAGATTTGTTTTACATTATTGCTGAGCGTTATGCTCCTAAGAAACAAGATAATAAGCTTTAAGATGATATAAAGCTCCATTAGGAATCTTTAAATGTTAAATAGGGTTATGTGGAAAACATGTATCCAGTCACAAAAGCTGAAAGGCATAACAAGAAAATCAAACGATGCTCTGCCCTAGTTCTTGTAGGCTGTGATATTTTCTTGTGTGTGTGCTGGGTATTTATCCAAGCACATCCCAGCTTATCCTTTTGAGCCATAGTTCTTTATATAAAGTATAATGGTTTATATATATCCTATAGCATACAGTACTCCCACGGAGGCCTCAACAATGTTAGCGCGGATTTGTAAATGTCAAGCAAAGGGTTTCTGCCTAACATTAATGGCTCAATAGAGAAAAAGACTGTAAGAAAAAAGAAGAAAGGTGAAATGAGAGTAAAACTGATCAAAGCTGTTATCTGCACTCAATATGAGTAACGCATTCATGGACACAAACCCAAAGAGACTCACACACACCAGCCGGCAGACAAAGAAAAAAACACCACCTCTCACAACACCATGACCCAGATGGACTAGAGCTATCTCTGGATCTACATTTGAATCAAGAACGGATGAGAACAGACAAAACAGGAAACATGAAAAGATCAGACAACGGAGTGAAAGAGTAACTCCACACCCAAGGATACCCATGCCCATCTGTTTTCTTTATCCCGCTTTTGTCACGAAACACACTGAAAGAGATGGAGCCACAAGGGGATGACCATTGTGACAGTTAGCGGTGCCCCAAGTCTCCGCTGAACTCCACTCCTCCCTTGTTAGTGAACCACCAGTGGGTGAAGCCCTACAGATGCCCGCTCCTGGTTGGTACATCTCACATGACGGATGGAGCTGCTGTCCCTCTCATTGATATTCTGCAAGGCTAGGGTCCCTGACTCTTAACGGCTATTTGTTGCCGCAGTCTCCTCCTGCTTCTGGGGCACAAAGAGGCTCAGTGTCGGGCAGAAGAGGCTGAATGGAGCTCCCAAGCGGCCGGGCCTCACAGTCAGACAGCCACAGCTCACATTCCCTCCTTCAAATGGCCTGCGGAGCCCATGGGGGCCTCGGGGCCGGTCAGAGAGACCCTGGCATACTGAGAGGCAGCGAGGGAGGGATGAATGGACGGGGAGGTATTGTTCTTTTTCCCAGCGCCTCCTGACATCTCCTAACTTTTGCTTTACTGAGTTATATTACAAAATATCAATTATATTGGCTTCGTCTTCATCCTTACTTGCGTATTATTGCTTTCTTTCACTTTATGATGGCTCTGTCCAGCGCTGCCTCTGAGGTACACACAAATTACAATGGGAGTCTCAACCCTTCACTAACCACTGGTCTCGACACATAGAGACACACAATAAAATGTATTTGTTTCTCTGTGATTTATAAAAAAGGGAAAATAATATCAACGTCCACCGTTCTTCATTATATAGTTATACTTCACAGTAAAGACGGGACACTGGTTGGGGTTGTCGTGGCCACTCGCTTCCACACAAACACACAATCACATACTGCATGATTCATAGAGAGTCACTTCCCTCTGGCACGGCTACAACAGTTTAAGTCTCCTCTGAAATCCAAAGTAAAGCACATTGTTGTCTGCTGGATGCCACTGGCACAGAAAAACGAAAGCAGAAACAAAATGTCACACTCAAAGAAGATCCATGGCATCAAATGACGGACAGAAATGGTGGAGGGAGATTTCCACATTTGGCGCTGAAAGGGAAATTGTCTTTTTTTTTTTCAAATCTCCACACTCTTTGAGAAGCTCCCCTTTCCTTTGCACCCCTCTCTTTCCTTTACTGTTTGTCCTATGGTGTCAAAGTCAAGCTCTGCGGGTCGTACCACTTACAGAGCAGAGGGGTGCGCCTCGGATTAAGAGCAGAGGATCGGAGACGTGAGGAGAGTTTTCTCCTCTTTTTCAACTCTCTCTTTGTCTCTCTCTTCAGTCAGCTGAATGACGTCAGAACATTGAATGACAGTGAGAGAGGACAGACAGGGTAAGGTTGGACCGGGACATAGAGTCTGAGGGGTTGATTTATTCCAGTCTGCTGTTGGAGGGAATGGGTTTTCAGAGAGAGCTCGGTGCCAGCGCTCACGTACTTCGCCTCACTGGCCGCTGGTGGTGCGCTCTCCCATGTTCTTCACTAGAAGATGGCTGAAGTCCGCCAGTTCCGCCAGTTCCCCCATCCCCCGGGGCCCGTGCATATCTGGCCTGATGATGCCCGGGCGCTGGGGGTGGTAGGGCGCTCCGTTGTTGCTGTTGTAGTTGAGCGCCTCGTGACTCCAGCGAGGCTCCCCATAGTCCATGTGGGGAGTGGGAGCGGACACCACCCTCCGTCGGTCGGGGGAGTCCTGCGGCGTGGCGGGGTAGATGTAGTCTCCCGCCGAGTTCCTCAGGGCGTTCCCGCTGGGACGACTGCCACCGTGCTCCCCTCTCTGGGTGGCTAAGATCAGGTAGCGTTGGCGCTCTGTGTGCGGGGGCAGCATGACCTCCCCCTGGTCCTCTATCCGGACCATCCCTCCGCCACCTCCGCCTCCGTGCAGGAACTTGGAGCTCAGGTAGATGACAGAGTTGTTGGGGCAGGGAGTCCCCACGGCGGTGAGGAAGGTCTGGCTCTGGTCCCAGTCGGTGTCCGGGAGGCGCATGGTTCTCTTCTGCTGCAGCGGCGTCTGCTCGGGGGTGGGCAGCAGGCCGGGGTCCATCTCTCCTTTAGACCAGCCGTTGGGCATGACGAAGGGGTTGTCGGCCTGCGAGCGCCGCCTCTCGCCGCCGCTGGTTCTCGTCACGCTCATCACCGACCCGCTGCGGCCCTGCCCCAGCATGCTCTGCTCTTTGTCACCTTTGCGTCGGGCGCCGTTGGCTCCGGAGCCCCGAGAGTGGCGGTGGCGGTGACTCATGATCCAGCAGACGGTGAGCCCGGAGAGGATGGCTCCGGTGGCGAAGGCGGAGACAGCAGACACCACCAGCAGGTTCACAGACACCAGGCCGTCAGGCTCGTCCATAAAACTCTCCTGCAGCAGCATTCCTGCGAACAGAGATACAATCACAACATCGGTCAACTGCTGCAATAGCATCAGTGTTTCCTGTATTAAACATGTGGGAGTTAACAACGGCGAGGCATAATGACCTATTTTCTCTCTCCCCTCTGTGGGTGGGAATGGTCATATGCTCTCAAGCCAAGGTAGCTCTGGTTAATTGCCTTCATTACGTAAAGTGGATGGTGATTTTAATAGCTTTAATAACTGTCTTCCTGACTGAGCACGGCTCTCAACCCTTACATGTTTCACAACATTAGCTTTATGGGAAGAGATGCCAAGTCTGGCATTAATGGTGAGTAATCATTTCAAGTTTTTGCATTACATCCAATGAATATCGCTTCCCATCTATGGTTGTGTTGTATGTACTGCTTGTGAATTACAAGTATTTTGATTAAAAACAGTACTTACAGTAATGTGATTACAGTAACAGTTATTATCCTTCAAGCCTGTATAAAACACTCCTACTGTAGTTACATCAGAAGCTGGATTTGTCTCAGTTTAGATTCTCATAATAAGACCTGAAACATTTGAGCTTCTATAGTGAATTTATATATATTTTAAAAGATTGTAGCCCTTTATGCTCCAAAAACTAAATGCTGATATTTTTACCTTGTTGCATCTAAAGTTTATGCCGAAGCCCTTTGCGAAGATGACATACAGCATCATGTTGATAAAGGGTAAAATATCTGCAGACAAAACCACGACTTTCAGTATTTCTTATAATAAAATAAGATGAACTCCTTCGAGAGAGAGAGAAGTGTTTATGAATTATTAAACATATGAATACAGCTAGACCACAGCACAAGCTGCCATGGATCAATTAGGGAAATGCCAGAAGAAAAGTAGTTCTTTGCAGCATGAGCTCCTGGGACCAACACCAACGAATACAATGAAATTGAGCCAAGGGAAGCAGATTGCAGAAAAACAGATGAAGGAGAGAGGAGGGTGTTAGAGAGAGAAAGAGAGAGAGTTGCCTAAAGCAAACTCGAACATTTGGGGTCTTACACAAACATAGTAATAGTTGTTAAATTACAGCACTAACAGAGGCAGAGGGAGGACTGTCTCCACCAGGACAGCGAAATAAATCCTTTTCTCCCGGAAAATAAATGGATGTCATTAATAGACATCGGGAGCCACTTACTCACACAGCACAGAAAGGGAGAAAGAATACGCTTACAGAGAACACTAGCGGGTTTTTTTTTTTTTTAAACAAACATACTTTTATTGTCTGACAAATTCATTTTTAATGGGAACAAATGGAGCTGGTTGTGGTGCAAATAGCCTAGCATGAGACAGCCTGGTGGTTAATTAATGTGGCCTGTGGCTTGGTGTAATAAAGTGTAACTCTACACATTGACATTAAGCCGGGGAATGGCAGCTAAAACCCTGAGAGAGACTGCTGCACTCTGCAGGAGTCGCTTTGAGGATGTTTAAGGAGCAGTTCACCAAAAAACACTGTTAAATATTTGAACACTTACCAATATCTAGTTTAAAAGCTCTAAGCTCCTTGGGGTTGGCCTTTCCTGTAGTGTGTTATATTGTTTTCTGTGCCTGTAAATGGTCTGCAAAGTCTAAAATCCCAAAGTTTTTGTCACACACACAAATAAAGACCTTGTAAACATGTAACAAAAGAGGCAAAAGAAATACACACACAAACCTAAACATGTGTCCTCTTTAAGCATTTTTCTCGAAGTTTAGAAAAATCTTATTAAAGATGTTACTACTTCCCTGATGGCTCCCACAGGATTGTTGACATCCTCGTGGATTCATCTTCTTATTATAGACACATGCATTTCCAAACATTTGGTCTACCTATGTTGTAAATGTATTATCTTTTCGATTTACACACGGCATCTATTGCACGTCTGTCCGTCCTGAGAGAGGGATCCCTCCTCTGTTGCTCTCCCTGAGGTTTCTCCCATGTTCCCCTTTAAACTGTGAAACACTTTGGAAGTGTTTCCTTGTACGATGTGAGGGTCTAAGGACAGAGGGTGTCGTATTGTCATACTGATATTCTGTACAAACTGTGAAGTCCACTGAGACAAATGTAACATTTGTGATATTGGGCTATATAAATAAACATTGATTGATTGATTGATGTCAAAAGCTGCTTTGTGCTTGTTGACCATTCAAAAAGTTTTACAGTATCAGATCTTTAAAAATACAAAACAGTTTTAGCCTTTTACTTCTGAGAGGAGGTGCTTAACTGTGTTTCGGTAAGAATAAGTTCTCCATTAAAAAAAACACACACATTTCTCTTGGTTCCCATGACTCATAAGTACTCATAAGTACTTGGTGTGAACGCGCCTACATGAGCTCCAACTGTGCAGAAAGAGGAAAGTGCGGGGACAGAACTGAATCAAAAAACTAATGAGAGTAAGTGTCTATTATGATGCTGCAATTACTGCTAACAAGCTCACAATAGCAGTTTTAACAGGTAGCAGGTAAAGTAATATTAAGCCTTTTAGCATGCTAACATTACACCATACACAAGTAGCTGATCCTGGCGGGGATGTCATTCGTTTTGGAGGTCATTAACCACATTATTGAACAAATGAACATTATGACGTGATGATCGTGCTTAATAACCTTTTTAATTATCTTTTTTCTAGCATGGTTTTAGCAAATGATAACTTGCCATTAATACAGCATCTTCTCTCATTAAGCTTCCTTTTGTTATATTATTATAGGTAGAGATAGCTTGTCTGTAAAAATACAAGTAGGAGCTAAAACTGGACCCAAAAGGAAATTAATGTAGACTAAATAATGACCTGATTTAAGGGAGAGGAGCCTTGTCTGTGTTTTTATTCTGTTATTTCCAGACAGTTGGTTCATTGCCAGACTGTTGTGGCCTTAAAGTAAAAATGTACTGTGAAGTCTCCGAGGAACAAATGACCAGTTAAACTAAACCATTAATCCATACATTGTCACTTAAAATCTCCTCTGACAGCATATACAATAGGTCCTAAATACTATCGATGCTCTCAACAAGTTTGGAGTTCATTGACTGAAAGCTGGCATTGATCAAGTGTTGGTCAATCAATGTCCTTTCAGCACTAATTAGTCCTTTAACACCAATCCAATGAGCTCGGTGATACACGTGGACAGCAGCCTTAGTTACAGCCTGATCATTATGTGACGTGCACACAGTTCAGTGCGGTTCGCCGTCAGACAAATCCTCCTGAAGAACCGCAGATCACGTTTCATCAGCTGGATTGTGTTTGCTCTTTGAAGCGTATTGGCTTTTCATTCTTTAGTTTGCTTGATGGCACAACCTGTTCTTCCCTCATTTCCTTTTGACTACTTGCTCTTTCTTTGTTCCTCTACCTTCATTAGCTCATCACTGCTTCTGAATGTTAATTGGAATAGTACATTTAGATCTAATGTATTTTGAAACTACATAAGGGATGCCCAATTAATAAAATGTAATCATCGCAATATTCAAATCGTAGGAGGCACACTATCTGGTATACAGGCAAAATATCTGTAAATATATTTTTGAATTACGTGCCCGTAACCCCCCCCCCCCCCCCCCCCCCCCCCCCCCCCCCCCGCCTGAAACGCCTTCATTGGAATAATTTGTTGACGTCTGAACACTTTTGTATCTATTGGCTAGCACTCCAACACATTGTACGTGATAGGCTAAGGGGCGGGACATCTCAAAAAGCAGTTGGCCTATCACAACACAGTAGTCCAGCTAACCAATCAGAGCAGACTGGGCTCTGGTTTCAGACAGAGGGTGAAAAGAGGTGCTGCAGCACATGCAGTATGAGAAAAATAAAGAGCTTTTTGAACATTAAAGCATGGAGACATGTCACAGTAGAGACACAAATACAATTAATAACCCGGAAATTAACAGAATAGGGCCCCTTTTAAATAATATACAATTAAATATCTTGATGAATGATGAGTTTAATTATGTAAAAATATTCAAACCCTGCAATATCGTTAATAATTGCGTTATTTTCCAACTTGTGCCGCCCTATACTGGAATTATTCTCATGATTCTCTCCAGAAGTATGTCCTTGCGTTTGGCTTGAGTTAGGCATTTGAAAGTGTTTATTTAACTGAGTATTAGGGTTTATTAAAGAGGTTAGTTTTGCCTAACGGTATGTAAAAACTTGATTGCTCCACATCCCAAAATTGCTCTGAACTTGGATGGCAGCTTATATTTTTGGATCCCACAGCATATGCTTCTTCACGTTGTTCCTCCATGCTGTCAATTCGTGGTTACATTAATCTCAGCGTATTCATTTAGGCGCCCATGTTCTTCGATATGTTTATATTGAATTTGGCATTTGTTCATTTAAAGTTCTCTTCCCCTCGAAAAACATTGTTGCCGTCTTTGTTGGAGCAACTTAAACAAAGCCCCCAATTCCTGCTGTATTTATTTCCATGTTTCAGGCCAATATTCAATTTGGAAAGACTGCCAGTGTCAATTACATTATCTCTGCTCTCCTCAGTATGAAGGGTGTTTGTGGGGGCAGCAGATGCGACACAAAGAAAGGCATTTGGAGGTTACCAACGTCTTCATTTACAGTGCACGCACGCACGCGCGCACACACACACACACACACACACACACACACACACACACACACACACACACACACACACACCACACACACACACAGCACACACACACAACACACACACACACACACACACACACAACACACACACACACACACACACACACTACACACACACACACACACACACACACACACACACACACACACACACACACACACACACACACACACACACACACACACACATCACACACACACACACACACACACACACACACACACACACACACACACACACACACACACACACACACACACACACACACACACCACACACACACACACACACACACCACACACACACACACGAGGGATTTGAAATGTCAAGTAATAAATTGATTCATAGCTGGATTTTATTTTGAATAAACCACAGCCTTGATGACTTTGTAAAC